CCCGATTTCCAGTTATCCCCCGGCTCAAGTCAGATTATTCAGAGATGCCTCATGAGAGAGTGACTGTGAGGAGGTGAGTCAGATCCAAGGACCACATGCCAGCGAAGGCTTAGTTAAATTGAGCAACTGAGAAGAGCTAGACAAAGCAAAGCCACACTGGCAACACATTGCTTGGGGGGGGGGGGGAAGCAGAAGGAACGGAGAGAAGGGCTGGGCCGGCTAGAGGCCCGAGAGAAAAAGGATGCTGAGCGAAGGCAACAGAATGCCCAGTCAGAAGCTCTCCGCCTCAGACGCGGATAAGTTTACCACAGGCTGACGTCACGCGAGGCTAAAAGCGACAGAAGACAGAACTCAGGGCCCTGCTGTTTCGTAAGGACCGGAGAAAAGAGGAGGGGGAAGTACCCAGCTGAGTGGCAGGACCCCTGGACTGCCCCACACTGCAGAAGGCCCCGGAGTCCATGCGGAGCCGGTGTAGCGTAGCCGGTAAGAGTGCTGGGCTAGGAGCCGGGAGAACCGGCCTCAGATCCCCACTCAGGCCCTGGAAGTTGGCTGAGTCACACGTTAGGTCTGCGTGACACCTATTCACACAGGGCTGGGCTGGCAGAACATATTCAGAGTCCAGCAGGGCACCTTTAAGACCAACAAAGGCTGATTCGAGGTAGGAGATTTTGGGTGCAGGCCCACTTTATCAAAGACACTTAGAATGGCAGGGAAGGTTCAGAATTCAAGCCAGAGAACGAACAGCAAATTAACATGTAACATGATGATGTTCAAGATATGCAAAGTGACACTAAACAACAAGGTAAGGTTATGGGGTCAACAGCTGTAGAGCAATAAATATGTCAAACTAGCAGATGAATGTCTAAAGGTGTCTTTTCTAATCATGGGAAGTGTCTGGGAATCTTCGTTCTCTCCTCTCAGGCAGGGAGGCCACTTGACCCTACATCCCCCTCAAACAACCCAACATCCCTTGCACTACATTCAGGATTATATTATTCTGCAAAAGAAATACACTAAAATGCAGAGGCTTGGTTTGCCTTCGGGGCACCGCTGGACTCTAGCTTCATCCTCACATCTCTTTGTTAACTCCTGCATTTATGTGCTAATTTCCCGCCATCCGTTGATCTTGCCGGACACCTGATCCAATTTCGGCTTTGCAGATGCATCTTGGCTCTGAGTGGCCCCTCCTAGCGGCTGGCCCCACCCTCTTTCCCCCTGTAAGTAGCCCTGGAGGAGATTTTATTCCATTTGTCTGAAGAACTGTGCTTTGCACACGAAAGCTTACATTCTGAACACAACTCTGTTGGTCTTAAAGGCGCCACTGGACTCAGACCTTGTTCTGCCTTACGTCAGTCACACATTCTCAGCCTGACCTACCTCACAGGGTTGTTGTGAGGATAAAAAAGGAGAAGAGGAGAATGATGCGAGTCGCTTTGTGTTCCCACTGGGGAGAAGAGTAGGCAGGGTGTCAATGAAGGAAATAACCAAATAACCCCAGGAATCAGGAGGTCAGAAGCACCCTTCTGGATCAGACCAGTGGTTCACCCAGCTGAGCATCCCGTTCCGCACAGAGACCCAGGCGTCCCCCTGGTGCTGCCACCCAGCACTTGTATGCAGGGGTGAAAGGCCTCAGGGAGGCTCTCATCTGGATGATCCAGGGGTCTGATGGGGGCCTCCAGCACTCCAATGACAGATGGCAAAGCCCAGAGCACTGGGGAGATGTCGCAGGCGATACAGTTGGTTTAGTGTGTACAGCTAGGATTAGGGGATCCAGGGTTCAAACCCTGCCCCGGCATGAAGGTCCCTGAACAACGTTGGGTCGGCCACCCTCTCAGTGCTGGCAGGGGTTGTGTGTGGATGAGGGGAGTACAGAAAACAGGTTTGTTAACTGTGAGCACCCTTCCAGGGACAGCGCAATAAAAAAACGTTACAGTCTGCAACCCAACGATTTGCAGATTGCTGGGGAATTAACCCAGACACCACCAAGCTACGTATGCCTGCCACCCCCAGACTCTCTTGACCGGCTTATCCCGCGCCTGGAAAATGCCACGGTGGGGCGAGTTCTCAGGGTGACTTCAAAGGCACAGGCCGAAGGCTGGATTCTTAAGCCCCTGATGACTTGCGGCAGATTGTATGAACCGACTCATCTTTAGAGGCATCCCGGGCTGAGGACGTAAAAAGAAGTTTTGCCTTTGAGATTTCACCTGCAATGAGCCACGGGGATGGTGCAGGTACGAAAGCTGATCTCCGAAAGCCTTTTTCAAGCAGCCCAGCAGACACGCCCTTTCCTTTTGCCCTGGACAGGCCACCAATGTGCCGAGAATCCCATGGCGGAGGTGTGCACCCATGTGGAATTCCCCCAGCCAGAGCAGCTCTCCCTCTGTTTTTTTTAGGGCCCCAGAGCTCCCCACCACACTCACACAGACCCTGCAGAGAAGCAACCACAGCTGGCTACAGAGGGCAGGAGTCAGGCATCTGCTAGGATCCCAAGAAAGGGCCCCCCGGGGCGTGTCACTCTCAACACCACTCTGTATGGGGCCAAAAGCCTCCTTTGGGGTGCCTGACTAAAAGCCTCCTGCGCCCTCCCCATCCCAAAGCCCATGCCGCTTTAGACTCTGGGATGTTCCCTCTAAGTTGTGGAGTATTGTGAGCAAAAATTCTACTTCGTGAGCAACTGGCATTAAAGTTGAGAGCGAGCAATTTGGATACTGCATAAATTAGTCTGCTCTGGAGCTGTTCTTCTTGAGCGAAGACAAGAATGTGTGAGCCGGAGGCTAAAAAACTGTGAGCTAGCTCACACTGACTCAGCTTAGAGGGAACACTGTCTGGGACAAGGACCCAAGAACGCTGATTTCATTAACGATTCATTAACTTCACTGATGTTTCATCCTCTGTCCCTCCTCCTTGATTTTTATTATGTCGTGGTTGTGGTTGTCTGGGTGTTGCTCTGTTTCCTGGAAGCTGCTTTGGGGTAGTTCTTTTCAGCTAGCAAATAAAAGCTGATTGATTAATTGACTCTTAGGTTACTTTTGTGCTGGAGGGAACTCACCGAAGCACACGCCAGGATGCCAAAAAACCCAACTTTCTGCACAAGGTTCTGGACCGCCAGCTTAGCACGGGAGGCGAAGTCCTGCAAAACAAGGAAAACAGCGAGATCAGTAACACAGGAGGAAACCAGCTGGGCGTCACTGACCACCCTTCTCCTTCCCCGCTCCACATTATGCCAGCAGGTTTAATTAGAAAGACAACCCACCCACCCCCAGACAGAGAATTGACACACTGGTGAACCAGACATCCGGCATGCTGAATCAAGTTGAAATTGTGAACATTCACGGATGCTTATTTGCATCTGACCCGTTCCAAGTGTCGTGACATAGGCACCGCTCATCGCTCAAGAAAAATAGCCCCTCCCGGCATTTCCTGCTCTCCACACCCTGGCACATGGAAGCTAACTACTTGCAATTAGCCCCCCGGCAAAATGTCTGAACGTATTTCTGAACAGAAAGGGTTATGAGCCAGAGTTTCCACGAAGCCCTCCCCCCTCCACTCGCACTCCTGCCATGGCGCTCAACGGAGCTCCTACAAAAAATGCCCATGGAACTTGCGCACGGCAGCTACTCGGGAAGGGTCTGCCGCTCGGCCCACCACCACACAGGTTGCGTGCAGAAGGTGCTGGTGAAAAGTGCCGTCAAGCTGCCGCTGACTGATGGAGACCCTGAAGGATCTCCAGGCAAGAGACGTTCGGAGGTGGTTTTGCCATGGCCTGCCTCTACGAAGTGACCCTAGGCTTCCTGGGCGCCCTCCAGTCCCATCCAAGCACTAACCAGGGCTGACCTTGCTTAGCTTCTGAGATCGGGCTAGCCTGGGCCAATGCATCAGGTACAAAGCTTCAGTCCCAGGCATCTCTGGGTACAGGGATTTCAAGCAGCTAAAGATCAGCGGTACCAAAGGGTCAGAAGAAACAGCAGTGGGCTAGATCATTGTCCAGACTTTCTACATTCAACACACAAACGTTACAACCACGGAATCAGATGAAGGGCCACTCTTCCCCAGCACCCTGTTTCTCATCGTGGCCAGCCCGAAACCTCTGGGAAGCCACGAACAAGGCATAAGAAGTAGAAGAAGAAGAGAGAAGAAGAGATTGGATTTATACCCCACCCTTCACTACCCAAAGGTGTCTGAGCGGCTTGCAAACTCCTTTCCCTTCCCACAACAGACCCCCCATGAGGTAGGTGGGGCTGAGAGAGCTCTTGACAGACACTGCTCTTTTTCAAGGACAGCTCTTATCAGAACTACGGCTTGCCCGAGGTCATCCAGCCTGGTGCAAGTGGAAGAGTGGGGAATCAAACCCAGTTCTCCCAGATTAGAGTCCGCGCACTTAACCACTACACCAAACTGGCTGAGGGCCACAGCCTTCTCCCATGCCTCACAGTAACTGGGTACGCCGAGTATACAAGCTCTGTGCATGAGCAGTGACAGCCACTGACATACCTACCCCTCCCCCAAGAATTTATCTAGTCTGCATCTAAGGAACATTTTCCCACAGAGATGCTTTAAAAGGAATGCCTGCATACTGTGGATGATTCTGAGGCACATTTACTGCACACACTTGGATTCGTGCGGGCCCCTGGTCAGATCTACCAGACTTTGCGCTTATAACCTGTGGAGAGCCAAAGGGAAGGCCGAAAACATAACTCTCGACACACGGGCTGCAATTCGCATATCACCAGGGAAAAACAGACAGCTCAAGAATATTTTCTGCCGTTTTGCGGACCTTCTCAATGACCAAGAACTTCTGTTTCTCTTCCAAGGCATCAGGGGGGTTCTCAGACAGCTACCAAGCAGGATGCTTCAACTGGTGGAGCACGTGGGCCGCCCCATGATCTGAACACAACCAATTGTTTTAAAAAGAGATGGCAGGAGGAGGGCACACAGACGTAGTTCTGAGTAAATCTGCATTACAGATTGGGATTAAGTGAGTGCAGATCCAAGCCTAGAAAAGCCCGGGGTGGCTGAACTAAACAGACCGCTGTGCCTGATGCTGTTACAGGGCAGCTCATCATATTAAGCTCTGGGTCTGTTGCTCCAGAGAAGAACTCAAAAAATTCCCATACATTTCAACAAGCCCTGGTCCAAGGAATCAGAGGAAGGAGAATTCTGGATTATAAATCTTAAAGTATTACCTAGTATAGCCTCCTTTCTAAAATTTAAAAAGTGCCATACACATCTGAATATGGATTCAAACGACATAATTAATTTGGTTGTTTTGAAAGGGGGGGGGGGGGAACACACCAGAAAATGTATATGCCACCTTTCCAGGGACATGCTTGAGACAGTACAATAAAATCATACAATTTGGGATTCTGTTCTTTTGCTATATTAGATTTCAAATTTGTTCAATCTGTTCTGTGATTTTAAGAATGCATAGGCCATTCAGTCATTTTAAAGATTGCACATTTCCTAAAACTTATTAGATTCATGTACATTGTTGTAACTGATCACGAACCGTAATAATAAATTTTATTTTATTTTATTTCAAATTCTTTAGGAATTGTCAACTGTTTTATCAGTACGCGCAGGTGACTGATCCACCTTGTTTGGCACTGTCGGCTTTGACTGGCAACAACTGTCAAAGTTTCCCTCCAGGAAACCAAGCCTCCTATTAGAGATTTTCTTAACGGACCATAACTCTCAGGGATTGAACCTCGGACCTTCTGCATGCAAACTATATGTTCTGACACAGAACATTAACCAGGAAACTGTACATAGGACATATAAGTTAATTTTATGTAAAGTGGGCTGGAATTTGTTGCTAGTGAAGAAGCCCCAGGTTCTCAAGTTCCTAAACATCCAGTAGAAGCCATCCACACTGGAGTTTCCCCCCTTCTTTGACCATGAGGGCTAGAAACTTGTTCTTTTTTGCAAGATTATAAAAATTCTGAGTTCTAAGAAGGAAAGTGACAATCTCTGGGGAGGAACACTTCTGTATCCTGCATTCCGCAGCATGGTCAAATTCAGATCATTAGGCAATTACTTACACTGACTCTCTCGTGTGTCAGACTGAAACAAGTTCCATGAAATTTAATAAATAAGTCATAGATTTATAACCCTAACCCTCTTCACAGGGGCTGGTAACAATTTATAACACAAAGTGTTATTGCAAAGAACGTCACAATAAAAGCTTTTATGACAAAAATATAGCTTGCATAATACAAAAGAAATCCATAACACACACACACAATAAGAAACACGGTACGAAAAGGAACCATTAATCCTGAAAAGAACATTTTTACATCACCTCTGGAAGATAGTCAGAGTGATGTATTGTATATTTACATCCCACCAAAGTGGGCGTCTTGAAAAGCAAAAGCATAAGAACTAGACATGAGCAATTAAGTACATATTTTAATACACTTAAACAGTAATTTATACATTTCTAAATGTGTAAACAGTAATTACGGTCTCTACCAACAAAAGGGGTGGTGTGTGTGTGGGGGGAAGAGTTCTACTAAGAGGAGCAATTTGCTTCGCCGTGATGGAATCAACTTTAATTTCTGGAAGGTGGAGAACGAGCTGATCCGGTGGGCTTTCTTGGGAAGCGATTTCTAATGGAGGGGCAGCAGTGAGAATGCCCTGCATCTTGCCACTCGGACCTCAAGACAAAAAAGGGGATTCAGGACACGGCTTCTTCTCAAGTTATCACTGTACAGGGAGGCTGATCCAGGATGAAATCCTCTCTTAGGTAACCAAGGCCCACTCTGAACTGTGGCCCTAAATGAAGTGAGAGCCATCTTTGCTGCCTCAGCATTGAGGAAGTGGGATCCTTTTGGCTCCTCTCAAAAACAAGCAGCCACATTTTGAACTAACTAAAGTTCCTAGACAGTCTTGGAAGGGCAGCCTAGGGGTTATCAGGTAATTTACCAGTCCAGGAGTGATGCTCAAGACTTTGGATCACAGCCGCTACTTGGGCATCTAGAAAAGATACTGGATCCCAATGGTACCTCCAGGATGCACACCTGATCCTTCAAGGGGAATGTGAACCTCAGAACAGAAGAGAGTCCCAGAGCTCAGAAGCAGATACCTTGGTGTTCTAATCATGGATAATTGTTATAAGAATCCAAACTCAAAATGGTGGAAATTCTGTTGATCTAACAGATGCACTAAGACCGTGGGGCCATAACCTTAGCAGAACCAGGATGCAACCTGAAATGTGGTCCCTGTCTTACATTTCTCCAACAGTTATTTCTAAATGTATAATTTATGTACTTATGTAGCTACCCAGATCTATCCACCCTTTCTTGCTCTCAATCTTTCTTCTTCCATCTTCAATAGATGGCCGGACTGCTACTTCAGAAACCTGTCGTTGCTCAGGCATGTTCCCTTTAAGCTGTGGAGTCCTGTGAGCAAAAATTCTACTTGGTGAGCTACTGGCATTAAAGTTGTGAGCAAGCCATTTGGCTACTGCATAAATTAGTTTGCTCTGGAGCCCTCCTTCCCTGAGCTAAGACAAAAACATGTGAGCTGGAGGCTAAAAAACTGTGAGCTAGCTCACACTAACTCAGCTTAGAGGGAACACTGGTTGTGACACCCCCCAAAAAAAGAATACCCACAAAATTGAATTAGAGGATGTACATTCAGGAGTCAGAAAGTTGCCTTGACATAGTTGCTATTGATGTTTCTATTAAATTTTATGTTTTGGAACCTTTGTGACAACAACTTGAAGGATATAAAATCAGAGCTCTGAATTCCTCACATACACCTCCAAAATAAACTCTCAATAAATTCTATATCACTGAAATGAACAGTTTAACCATCCGATGTGCTTTTGCTGACATTTTCAAACATGGTTACTTTAAGGTGCGGTCTCCTGTCATTTCAGCAAATGATGCTGTAGAAGCTACCTTACAAATTTCTTCTGTTATACCAATGGTATATATATTTCCATATTCATATACTTTAGAAACTTTATGGATTCTTAATTCTAACTTCATACTAGACAGAGAAATACCACAACAGACATGGAACATAGATTTGTCTTTTCACAAGGTGTAGAACCGTTAAAGGGGATAACGACTTAGACATACAATTATGCAAACTTTGAGAAATGACTGGCCAAGTTCAGTGGCAGAG